AACTAAATCCATCTAGATAAGTATCTGAGGTTTCTAGATAAGTATATATGGTACAATGAGGTATCTAGATAAGTATCTGAGGCATCTAATGTGTATCTGATGTATCCAGATGTGTATCTGTTGTATCTAGATGTGTATTAATTGTATCTAGATGTGCACCTTGGGTATCTATATGTGTATTTTGGGTAGCTGGATGTGTATTTGTTGTATCTAGATGTGTATCTAGATGTGTGTCTGCTGTATGAAGATATGTATCTGGTGTATCTAGATGTGTATTTGTTGTATCTAGATGTGTATCTTGAGTATCTAGATGTGTATCTTGAGTATCTAGATGTATATATGGGGTATAGGGATGTGTATCTGGTGTACCTTGTTTTATATTGATGTGTTGCTGATGTACCCAGATTTGTATCCTTTGTAACTAACTGCATCTATATAAGTATACGAGGCTTCTAGACAGGTATATAGTGTTTCTAGATAAGTATATGAGGTATGTAGATAAGTATCTGAGGAATTTCAAGTATAGATGGTGTATCTGGATGTGTAACTGTTGTATCTATCCAGATGTGTATTTGTTTTATCTGGATGTGTATCTGGTGTATCTGGATGTGTATTTGGAATATACGGATGTGTATCTGGTGTATCTGGATGTGTATTTGAGATATCCGGATGTGTATGTGTTGTATCTAGATGTATATCTGAGGTACCTAGATGGATATCTGTTGTATCTAGCTGTGTATCTGGTGTATCTGGATGTTTATTTGGGATATCCGGATGTGTATTTGTTGTATCTAGATGTGTAACTGGTGTATCTGGATGTGTATTTTGGATATCCGGATGTGTATTTGTTGTATCTAGATGTGTATCTAGATGTGTATCTGGGGTATCTGGATGTGTATTTGGGATATCCGGATGTGTATGTGTTGTATCTAAATGTGTATCTGATGTATCTAGATGTGAATGTGTTGTATCTGGTTGTGTATATGTTGTATCTAGATGTGTATTTGTAGTATCTAGAGGTGTATCTTGGGTATCTAGAAGTGTATATGGGGTATATGGATGTGTATCTGGCGTATCTGGATGTGTTTCTGAGGTACCGAGATTTGTATATGTTATATCTATATGTGTATCTCAAGTATCTGGATGTGTAACTGTTGTATCTAGATGTGTATCTACGGTATATTGGTGTGTATCTATTGTATCTATATCTGTATCATAGTTGTCTGGATGTGTATATGCTGTATCTGAGGTCTCTAAATGTGTATCTGAGTTAATCTAGATGTGTATTTGTTGTATCGAGATGTGTATCTAGATGTGTATGTGTATCTAGATGTGTATATGAGGAACCTAGTAGATGTGTATCAGAGTTTATCTAGATGTGTATTTGTTGTATCTAGATGTGTATCTAGATGTGTATGTGTATCTAGATGCATATGTGTTGTATCTAGATGTGTATTTGTTGTATCGAGATGTGTATCTAGATGTATATTTGTTGTATCTGGATGTGTATCTGTTGTATCTAGATCTGTATATACGATATATAGATGTGTATTTGTTGTATCTAGATGGGTATCTTGTATCTTATGTATCTAGATGTGTAATGGATGTAGCCATATATGCAACTAATATATCGTGACATGTACCTGATGTATCTGGATGTGTGTCTGTTGTACAAGATGTGTACCACGTGACCATATATTTGTATGTAAGTGTGTCTGAGGTATCGGGATATATCAGGTTTGTAATAAGATTTGTATACAGGTGTGTGACAACGATCTTCACTCGGTTACATTAAGATGCATTGCACCGGTTTTCTTTTTCCTGTTAATTTTAAATCAATATATGAAATGGCATTACCGAAACGATCAATTTCAGATAAAACCCCGAAACACATGTACAAGTATCCCAAATTGAAATGTATATTCATTTGTGTCAGAGACTTTGTGCCTTGTACCTGATAACCTTTATTTATACGAAACTAAACTCTTATTCTTTGACAGCGTGTTTCCCCATATGTATCAGGGTTAAATTGTCGTTTTAATGACAATATAACAAATGTGAGTCTGAGGTGAAGATTTTAACAAAACAGGGAGTTGCCCTCGGTAAAATTGCTTTATTGGACAAAGAGCCAGCAATGCTGATCCATCCTATAAAATGACCTTTGATGGGGGATTAAGTAGCAATAAGCTCTCAATAAATAATACATTACTGTCTTTGACAAAGCAGTAGTAAGCGGTCGATATGTCATAAATGAAGCGACATCGAAGGAGCTTCGTGGCAGGCATTTCACGTGGGAAGTAAGAGTGTCATCTGGCTTTGCTAAATCTGACTCACGTGACAAAGGACTAAAACGTAGAAGGTACAATTAGCTTTCTGTACTCATTCTATGAGCAAATCTTACATAAATCGACGAAAGGTATCAAAAATAAATCATTAACTTGAATCTAATTTCCATAAAATAGCTTTCACGTCACTTTATTTTTATAGATATTGGAACTTCAGATTCATATGAATTATAGAATGGATGAAGTCAAATAGAGAAAATACGTCGTATACATAATTCATTACATCAAATGATGCGGCTTGTAATAAGTTTTTAACTATATATCACGCTGAGCTATGTGTTACTTAGTGTAACCTATGCGTACTAAGTAATGTTATTGGCTAAGACCAACCCGTGACAAGCTAGTTTGACTTCCGACCATATATGATGTCAACAAATACGTGACGTCATATGCTAATCCGCGGCCGCGAAAAAGGCATGCCGAAAGGAAATGTTTCCGATTTTGCTTAATAAAACGACAACACAAATGCTGAATAAGTTATGGTAAAACACAATTCCATAACTCGTGACATTAGTTTAGCATATCTTTCGAACCATCGATATTTAGTTTTTTGAAATTAGAAAATAATCTTTCTTGAAATTTTTAAAATGAAATAAGTCGAGTTAGATAATATGATTTCAAACCCGTCACGCGTTTAGGAATTTCTATCGAACATGTGATGTATGTATTATTCAGTGTTATAACAATCATTTTCTATATGTGTAACATGTGTAATAACCCACATTATGACGTCATAAGTAACATTCGATGACATAGTGAATTCTCGGCGAAAAGCAAATGTATTGTTTTCCCATTTTTTTCAATAAATGGTTCTGTGTGTGATAAAATCAGTCATATAACATACTTCTGTAAATTATGTGATAAAAGAAAGATCAATCTTTTCTGCATTTGATATGACTTATATGAAACATACTGAAGCTCATACAATGAGAGTCGTATAGTTAGGGACATTGTTTGAAATCATCTATATAAGTAATATAATTTATATGAGGATCATCGTAATGTACGTAAATGTAGTACACTCTATCGGATTTATAGACTTCCGTGTATCTGTTAGAGCAATTTTAGTGATATATTGCGTTGTGGAACACGCATCAGATTCTGAGATTAAATTTTTTTGATATTGTACACAGCCATTCATTTAATAAAATAAACTGTTTTGTGACCATGCTGTTGAAAAACATTTAACTTAGTGATAAGATCATGAGTTTTTCACGTTAACCTGACGGTGGCATTGATATATCTTTAAAAGCAAACTTTATTTTTTTTGCAACATTTATGTAACAAGTTATTACAAGTTATATTAATCACTCTTGTTGGCCCGGATGTTAGCGCGCTTAGTAAAAGGCGAGTGCCTTATCCACCCTAATTGATATATCTTTGTGACGTCAACATTTAAAAGTCGTATATGTGAAATCGAATGGTATTTTATATAGTTTTTTTTAAGATAAAATCATTCATACTGATCAACAAGGAAGTAGATAAACAATTGGGCGTGACAGAATTCTAAATTGAAAGAAAAATAGATTTATTAAGCCTACTCTGTCGCAAAATACTTCATTTGTGCGGTGCTTGACTATATTTTGAATTGGCCGCATTAAGGCAATAAGTGTTGAGCAAGTTTGTGCTTTATTTTATTCACTAAACCATATCTCTAATACTACAGCAAAGTATATAGCGGCGGAATATTATCTTTGACGTTCGTCCATTGTTATTGTGAAGTTTATTTCATAAAGGACGTCATTAATTAAATCCGGTTGCAATATTATGACAGAACGATCATCTATGCTTTGACCTGATATTTATTTAAGGTTATATCACACACATGAACACACGCGTACACACGTGTACTGATACTGTCTACACGATCATAGGCCAATTGCTATCGTGTCAGGTTTGATCACCAAATAAGTATAGTTGTATGTGTCTTATAGGCACACATACAAATCACTTATACAATGCATGTGCCAAACAGTTAGCAAAACCGCAATAATGGATTGCCTGATGCGTGAAGGCCATACGTCCATGTCCCTTGTGATACATTCTACTGTAATCGACATCCATACCTGTACGTGCTTAAACCAATAAGGTATTGATATACATATATGTACGCCCTATACTGGCCCACCACACATAGGTGCAAAAAAAACGTTAACATACATACCGATACACCAGGATATGTACATGTGTGTAGTGTAGTGTTCCCGTTAACACATTCACGTAAATCATACTTACCTCAACAAAATGTTAATTCGCTTATACAAATAAACAGTTTTTTGACATTATCTTACATTGTGTTTCCAATTTTGTATTAAAAAATAGCATATTCAGAGTCACTGTATATATTTTGTGAGTATTGACTGGGTTTCATTTAGTCATGTATTTGGTGGCAACAAGATGTTCCTATAATGCATGCTTGAAATATTTTACACCTATATATGTGTGTATTAATAAGGTAAACTCAATCTACTAAACATCCAGGATCTTTTGACAACAGTTCAAATGACCCAAGTTAAAATGCAATCAGTTTGTGCTATCGACTAGTTCTATGTGTGGTGGAGTATTTATTTATCCCCCACTAACGGTGAGATATAAGGTTATGGTAGATATGAACTTGAATCGCCGTCACCCAACCGTCCATTGATCTATTTGCAGGTCCTACATCGAGCAGATAAGTTTACACAAATGTCGTCTGCTAGTGAATCACGTGACTCTCAATCCTCGGGCACAGCGCCAAAAATTGTTCCATTAGGATATTCGGCCCGGGTGCTGTACACGTTCCTCCCACATGAGAACGAACAGACGGAAATATTCGTCTCTGAAGGTGAAACTGTCCAACTGGAATACGAGGTGGGTACATGGGTGTTCGTAACATCGGCGGAGGGTGAATCTGGCTACATTCCTGCGGACTTCTGTGTACCTTTAACTGGTGAAAATAGCCACTCTACCGAGAATACTACGTCAGGATCGCTCACTACAGTGGAGCCATTGAGCTCTATTGGCAAGCATGAAACCATAAAGGACACCTTGATTGGTGTTTCACAAACACCAGAAGACAAACCGGATGTGTATTCGGTAGAGGATAAGATATCAGGTGATTCATCTGTAGGGATTATAGAACACGGGAGTAACATTTATACAAAATTCGGTCAGTTAAACAAAGTTCCAAAGGAGATTTATATTCCACGGGAGTCGATAAAACGCTCAAGCAGTGTGAATGTTTCAGACCCTAGTGCTGAAGCCGAAAGTGTTAATGGTGAAACGGTAGTAGCGACCTGTGATATATGTGGAAGCTACATCACTCGACTTCCCTCACAAGTTCAGGGTTTTCTCAAACTCAAAAGGGCTAAAGCCGATTTCCAATCACGTAAGCTACTTAGTGAAACACCAGCATATTCAATACAAGGATTACTATCGCACTTAAACACAGATCCTTCTGTCAGCCGTGAACAAGCTTATAGTAAAGGAATTAACCAAATTGAATTGGCAGAAAAATATGAACCAGCACAAAATATACTTGAAAATCTACGTACAAATTGTGAACAGTGCAATACTCTGAAAAATTATTTACAACTTCAAGGGGAAAGTTCAATGTCAACCGTTTATACGAATAATCGGGATCTGAAACTGGACGCGGCCAGTGACTCGGATTCTGAAGGAAGTGCAGAACGGAAGGATGACGTAAATGCACATGAGACCCCCAATAGGGTAGGTGCGCTTATGGAAAATGAACATGAGGAACATAGTGATGGACAGATTGAGAGTGATGACAATGATTCACCACCACCACTTCCAAACTCCTCTCCTCCTCCATTGATTGATCTCACGACGACCAGTGCTGATATGGAGAAGCCCGACAAGGTCGAGGCGGAAGTTGTACTGGGCAGACAGACGATCATTATAAACAGGTCGCCGGGGACGAGAACTCTCCCCGCCCTCCCTAAATATGACAGTAAGATGGCCTGGAACGACAAACCTCTGACCACGCCCTATGACCAAGTGTTCAATGCAAATCAAACGTTCTTTGATCCTCTTCTTCAGCATATGGGGAATCCGGATGAGGATTTCATGCGACAAGGTAGTAGGACTACTAGTGGGTTTGCTAGTTCAGAAGGCAGTGTAGAGAGCTCGGAACCTGACAAATTCCTTGGGGCTGACGGAAAGCTGTACGATAGTGAAAGTGACCTATGTGTTAAACGCGTTTCAGAAAGTTCTTATCCGTCCTCTGAGGAAGGAGCCAGACCTCTTAGTGGTTTGAGTGACCTAGCGTCTCCAACTGCGATATCCCCTGATGGGAACAATGTGGACCTTTTAGGGGGGTTTAGTAATTCTTCCATGAGTGATCAAGACATACTAGTGCCTTCTGTAAAACTATCGAATGACGATGTGTCTGAACGGACGCTTTACACTAGCTCATCTTTGGACGAACATATGATTTCAGCAAGCCGGAATGTAACGAGTGCTAACGATGCCGTAATAACAACGCTAGAACCCGACAGAAACAGCAATGGTGCTAAGTCTGAAAATTCTCATAGCAGCAAAACGTTACCGGCCACACCAAAACATTTCGACTTCAGGGCGAACCTAATGGTGTTGGGAAATCGCCCCAAGATACCAGCATTACCAAATAAGCTGATGGTTTCTCCAGCTCTTCGGACGCGGCAACACACTACCACGGCCATGGTCAGTTCTGTGAATAATAACAAACGTGAAGAAGAACCTAGAACGAAGATCCGTCCCTCTATCATCACTATTGCCCCTCCTATGGGTGACAGAATGGTAGTGGCGAGACGACAACAACCTGCCACGCCTGTACGGACCAATGGTAAATATCAACAAGGAACACATTCTCATTGTGCTGTAGTTATATAAAGTAACTTTAAAGACTTTTCATCCTCATTTTCATTCATGATAAATTGTTACACAACACGATTTGAAAATTTTCAATTTCTTAATCTAAAAAAATAATTACATAACACGTAGTACTACTTACACTTAAATGGAACTTTTTTTTATCGGTTAACACATTTACCATTTAAGTTCCTTTATTCAAGGTAGTTCCATCTTTTTAATTAACTTGCGCCGTGACCATCAATTCATATCTCAACGGATATTATACTTGTCTATTATGATTCGACGTAAACAATGACTACTTAATACCACTTTCACCACAATTACCCTTTATCGAATTTACACTGATGTTCTTATATTTCTGACCAGTTGAAGACTGACATCAATAGCCATCGCAATATCCTTTGGCGATAAAATTATTTTCAGAATTGTTCCTTGAAATGTTTATTAACGTATTGTACAACCTCATATTATAGTGCTGTCCAATGTAAAAACAGCAGTAATCTCAATAGGTTTAAAGTCAGGATCAAATCTACTCTTTATATCTAAATCATGATCAAATCTGCTCTTTATATTTATAGTCATTACCAAGTCTACTCTTTATAATTAAAATCAAAATTAAGTCTGCTCTTTATATTTAAAAGTATGATCAAATGTACTCTTTACATTGAAAGTCATGTTTAAATCTACTCTTTACATCTAAGTTATGATCAAATCTACTCTTTATATCTAAGATATGATCAGATCTGCTCTTTTATCTTAGTCGTGTTCAAATCTACTCTTACAAATAAGCCTAAATACGTACATCATCAGAACACAAATATGCGTTATTTGGCTCTTGACATTTGTCTTTTAGCAGAGCATTCTGATTTGTACAAGAAATAAAAAATGAAAGAATTGTCGATTTACGTCCCCTCAACACAGTCACACTCTGACCCAGTCTTTAGGAGGTAGGTCTTGGTGGGAGGAAATTATGTAAAAAGAACAGGACTCTCTTTTAATCTGAGCACATTGTTTTTCTGGTAGCACAAGACCAACTTTCAGTAGATGCATTCCTGTCTGCAAGTCCTTTTGATTTAATTACAGTTAGTCATAATAATTTAATCCCCAAAATATTTTGTGTGCTCTATATTGATCACAATGTATCATTAGTTCAAAGTATAATAACAACTAATATTAAAACAAAATTAAGTACAAAATCTATCTCAAAATGTTACAAACGAAATCGAAGAAACATCAAAACCTAAGGAAAAGAGCCATTTCGAAAACCTTTTTAAAAACTAGGTGTCAAAACTAGATATGTTCAAAAAGAATTAAATTGTAAGGGCTTTAGAGCAAGTTTGAAAAGCATCTTTTGACATTTACCATACAAGATTCCCAAAACATAAAAATAGCATTACATTTGTCTCCAGAATTAGTTTTATTATTCCCAGCGTTAGCTTGAATAGTAGTTGCACAGACATTTAAACGCGGGTCCACAAACTTTCCAATTTAGAATCCTCTGTTAATTCAATGATTCTGTTGTTAATTGTAAAGTAGATCTTAGCACAGAGCATAATGTTTTAAATTGACAACTGGTATTTAAATTGTGACGTCAGAATTTAAAAAAAAAATAAAGACAGCTAAAAACAGCATGTAGCCGGTTTCCGTTCGAATGTAAAACTCTAACATACTTTATCCAACTCCGATTTCCACAAAAGGACATAGAAATAAGACCTGGATCCTTGTTCGCGGATGATTGACTGACTAGATATATACGACGTATGATTTGGTGTATTGAAATAGTTCTTACCAGTACCTCAATAACACAAACAAATAGCTTGATAACTGATAGCGCCCAGTATACAATTTTGACATCGGGTGCGTTTTAATATGGCTACGGTTTATAGATTCCTATAGATTAAAGTTTAACTCGCAGTGGTAATTACGATCGCATGGTTCAGGGTCATTGTACACGTGAACAATACACGCCAGGCGAGCCGTCCACACTCTGAATATTGGAGTTAAATAGAGCGAGATTTAATTTGTTAAATCGTGTTATCAAATTAAGCTTATATTTCGCATCCACTTATCTACACTCTGCTAGACTGGTGTGTGTAAAACAGCGTTTTGTATGCAACATAGTATTATCTACATTGTATAGGGAGTTTAGTTTTGTCTACACCATACTGGCTGATATAAGTGCAGTTTTCCCAGTATCACTATAGATTTCCTCTATACCGATTCATACAATGAAGGTGCAAGTAATTGGTAAAAAAAATCGTAACACCCTGGAGCTAACTGCAGTGATCATTGCGGGAGGAAAAGGTCCCCCAATTCGTGATGACTGGTTATTACTATCTAACTCTCATTAAATAATTTCCAAATTCTTAAAGACACTTTGTAAACCATGTCTTTGGACCATTTAAAAATCAAACCAGCTTGAATTACTATCTAACTCTCATTAAATAATTTCCAAATTCTTAAAGACACTTTGTAAACCATGTCTTTGGACCATTCAAAAATCAAACCAGCTTGAATTATATAAACATGCTTATCAACAATCATTCGTAGGAGAATCTCTCTATCAGGCACCATTCAATACGGTGCAAGCAAAGAAGTCATCCTTTATGTATATGTTTATTATTAACAGAATCGGAACAGCAGATCTTGTAAGAAGATAACATAATATTCTAAATACTATCTTAGATACACTTATCATGACTGGAATATGACAGGTGCATGGCAAAGGTGCGGTAAACTGCAGAGACATTTTCCCCAAAATGTTATAAAATCTTATTTGTGACTGTTATGTTTCAGCCTAATCTGTCAATTATACAATAGTGACATTAACAACCTTCCCACGTATATTCAAGACTGTACTGCCAGGCACAGTGTATAAATCCACTGATAAAACACCCGGTATATTAATTGAGTAGTAGTGATTCGTATCTGTACACTTACCAAGCTGAATCGACCAGTAGTAAATGAACTTTAACTGACCTCGCGTACAATAGCCGTTTTCTATTCCACCTGATGAGAAACGTGGGCTGAGAGCCATATGTTGGTTTTCCACTAGTGTAACATTACGTTTTAATCCTTTAGAAACTGTTGTTCATGTTAACATTTTAAACGTATGGCAAATCTGATAAAGAAACACGTTCACTGAACATTACATTAAGCTTATTTGGTCAAGGGTGTAGCGTAGTGTGTGGATGTTCCCAAAGCACAAGTGGCACCCCGCGGAGCATGTTAGCCACGTTAAAGGTGATTGGAATGTGGTATTGAAATTTATTCTGCAAATATCCTCTAAATTTAGTTTAGATTTCAAGCATTGATAATATATGCCGAGGTTTTATTTTGTTAAATGTAAACATCAACATTTTTTTTTTTTTCAAAAGACTACCGTTTTGACCATGAATATTTATCAGCTTTGTTCATATTGGAAATACTTTATGGCTTGCGTCCAAACTGATTTTCGTTAAATGATCACTTATGAAACTCGATGCCTCTTTGAAGGCAATAACTACGATGCGAGCTCTTTTAATATAGATTTCTTTTTTGTATCATAACGCTAGATGTTCTTATTTACGTAATTGCATTACATACATTCTCTTGCTATCAATGTTTGTAAAACCTTGATTTTAAAGAAAACAATATCGTCCGATTATAAAAATAAGTGTTGGATACAATTGCTATTCTGTCCTTGATATTAGTCACATAGACATTCCGATAGGACATAATTGAGGTGAAGCGATAACGTAAGTGATCGACAAATAGGGTAATACATAGTGGTTACGTCTATGTTAACGTAATACTCCGTAAACAGATTAGACATTATGGTGAGCATAGCCTTATTCATTATATAAAACCACGTAATCTGATAGAACAGCTAACTGTATAAGATCATGCTTTCTTTATTACGTTACACATTGCATGACAAATCGTAATTGTTCTTTTGTGTGAACAATCTCATTGCACGTGTACATTAAAATGTTTGATGTTGTTTGTTGTCGTTCACATCTTCCTTCTAGTCTGTAACATGAAAATTGGAAACATAATTTCTCTGTTAAGTTATTTTATTTGTTCATACATCTTCCAAAGAAAACCTCGCGAAATTACAATGAAAATGACAAACAATACATTTTTACTGGTGAAATCTAAGGATTGGTTTAGAATAACATAATAACTACCTATTGATATCTTAATAGTTGACTCGATTAAAAATGAAACGGTTTGTGTCAAGTGTAAAATAGTAAAACACTAGTACATATCTCGGCACATATGACATATATTTACATTTATGTTCACACCATACAGTACAACGTATTACAATAAGTATACAGTGTCCATGTATTAACCATTACAGAGACACGCCATACAATATCCCTACAACGTATTACAATAGGTATACAATGTCCATGTATTTACTATAACAGTAACACACCATACAATATCCCTACAACGTATTACAATAGGTATACAATGTCCATGTATTTACTATAACAGTAACACACCATACAATATCCCTACAACGTATTACAATAGGTATACAATGTCCATTTAATTACTATTACAGTGACACACCATACAGTATCCCTACAACGTATTACAATGTCCATGTATGTCTACGTTTATATTCAATGTCCACCCAAACTGACTGTGTAGTTTTTTGGTCAGGGCGCAACACTTCTGATAGAGGTGGAGAAATTGAACATGTACACAAAATATTGACAAGCTTGTTTACACAACCTGAATTGAAATACACTATGTTGTATCATTAACATATTTTACTTCGTTATAGCTAGCTGCTAACATATTCCAACGTTCGTCGTTCAACATGAATTTTAAAAAGGGTGTAGCCGCCATTAACAAAAGCAAACAGCTCCCCGTAATAAATATTTGTATAAGGTAAACATCAGCCGTTTATTGATTTGGGTATACCAGTGTTGTTGATTTCCCGGCATATATATGTACATATGATATCCCGAACCCATTATGTGCCCAACTGATTAGCCTCCTTTAACAAAAAGTTATGGTGAAATAAAATCTAAAATTAGCTTCCTTGTACAAAAAGAAATGGTGAAATTAGCTTCCTTTTACCAAAAAAATAGTGAAATAAAATCCAAAATTACATTCAGTCTAAACATGTTCATGCTGGTGTTATCTTCGTATTTCTGTCAAAGCATATTTATGTTCAACTTTAAAGCTTTATTCTAGATTAAATAAAAAAGTTTGATATGAAAACAAATATTGAACACGAAAGTTCATACTTTGTATGTAATACACGTGACCAGAGTCAATGACTTTACTAATATGGCTGACTTAAGATATCAATGTTTTCCAAATATTGGCTGTTTGGTTCGTATTATTTATACATCACTTGTCGACCTTATGCACAAGCACTTGTCGCGTTTTAAATCAAACATATTTGCTAGACATAACACCCTTGGTTTTCCTTAAAATTCAAAGCAATACAAATAATAAAACTTTTCAATTCTCAAACATGCGTATGCCTTTGGGACGTATAACTAAATACCAGCTGTTTAGAATGCTTTGGAAGATCATGTCACGGAAAGTATATGATGTTTAAATAAGATCAGTAAAAGGTGTGGGTTTTTTTTTTTATATCAGATCACTAAAAGTGTATGGTGGTTATATTAAACCATTGAAAGTATATGGTGTTTATATTAAATCACTGAAAGTATATGGTGTATAATAAATAACTGAAAGTGTATGGTGTTTAAATTAAATCACTGAAAGTGTATTGTGTTTCTATAAAATCTTAACGTATATGATATATATAATATATATATAATATTTGTTTTGCTGTTATGTCATATATGTCATAAAAGCATGTCCATTGAGCAGTTTTAATACCTGGAACATGTGAAATGCGAATGACATTGAAAAAAACATCATAAAGAAAAAATACTCTCATATACAATCATTACTTATCGACATAATATATGTCTATTTTTATTAGACGTTTAAATATAGGCCAAGATCAAATTAGCTGATACTCTAACATATTCTTCATTTCTATTACAGCAGACCGACAGGACGAAAAAGACATTAAAAAGACTCTTCATGAACATTCTATGTCTCCGAGACGAACTAGTCAAATGCCTATGCGTGCACATCATTCTATTCATGCCGAGGCTGGTAAAGATTCTCGGCCAACAGGCAGGACTATTCTTGTGAAAAAACACAACAATCAAATATGGCGCCCACCAACAGGATCGCCAGAAGGGAGTGAAACACCAAGACCCTTCTCACCGTTTGGGGGGACGCTGCCACCCTCCAAAATCGGGTCAAAGAAAAAGGTTGTGGAAGTGTTTGTATGAATATCGCAGAATTGGTCATCCTGGCAGTGTTTTTTGTTATAACGAACCTGCATTGACCATTGGTGATAATGGTCGAGATCATTTACATGTTTCCTGCTTGTGTTTGGAAATATGAATGAAGATGCCAATATTTTACATTTAGACAGTATAAATTGTAAAGTTTCGAGCGTGCATAAATTATTTTATGACTTCGAGCTGATTAAACATCGACGTTTTCTATGCTTGAAATGATGATAATGGTTAGTTACGATAGTCAGCTTGCTATAAGGTGCACATGTTAATTAGTATCACTCCTGTTATTCAATGATTATATTTATGTATCTTTAAATTTAATAATTACATTTATTTTAAAATGTTCCGTTAGACCCGCCTCATTGTTAATATCCATGTTATTTCAACGGTTTTCACTAGGGTTGTATTGGGGATTGACAAAGTTTGCAGACAGTATACAGAATGATACTATTACTTTAGCTTACTTGTGGACAGCCTTACGTACATGTTTGTATACAATGATATGATGCACAGCATCAACCTTTAATTATGTGTTCCTAATATAAAGAGGTAAAGAACGACAAAAGTTCATCTTAGTTTACTGATTCAATAAAGTACTCGAGCATGTCTAGAAGAGAAAGTCATGTACTGGACTAATTTAATTTGAAATTTCACAACAATTCGTTGCGGCAAAATTGATAAAAAATAAAATGAAAGCACAAATGAGATCCATTTCTTTTACGTTTTAATTTAAAGCTATTTACAAACAGTAAATTTTGTATTTATCTTATTGAAGATAGTGAATTTTATATTTTATCTCGTTCTGTGAACATTCCCATATACCTTACTGCTGCAGTTAACATAGAGATACACAAGGAACAGAATTAAGCGATGTTATTTCAGGATAGGGCTTAGCAGTATACGTTTTTAACGTAGGATACTACAACTTAAACATAAATATAAAATAATGATACCTTTGATATACATTACTGTGATAGTGAATTAACAAGTTCCTTGTGAAATCCGGACCAAATTTTCACGTTTTGACTGTGATAACCATACTTTGGCAAAATTATAGAAATGTATATATAGATATATAGTGTTAAACTGAAGGCCAAGTATATTATGTTGATAATCATACAGCTAATTAGTATGAAAAGTGTTACATTTTGGATTTGTTATATTCAAATATTTATATATTTATTTGTACATACATATATATTTATTTGAAATTGGCTATATCAGTATAGCTTGTCAAGATGTGATGATATTATTATTATTACCCTTCCTCGGGCAATAAAACAAATCATTTCAAACATTTTATATCGTTCCATTACTTTGTTTATTTCATCTGTAACACTGCCGTTGTATTAATTTACATTTGTTTGTTTTTTCCGTCTTTACTTCCTAGCATTTCATTTTTTATACAATCTTTTAAGTCACATTTGAAGTAACCATCCTTTGTTTTGGCCCAAACCCATTGTATGTGTCCTAAACATGAGGCCTCCTGAGACAAACCACCAAACCATCCTAATCCAATTCAGTAAACTGCCAGAGAGTTAATTCTATGTTAATAATGTTGAACGTGTCACAAGGAGAACAAATGCGTCCTTAATTTACTACAACAACAATCTGGTCGGTTTGGTTTGGTTTGTTTGTGTTTTACGTCCTGTTAAAAGCTATGGTCATTGAAAGACATGCCAGGTTTTGGTGGTGGAGATAGTGTTCCCGGAGAAAAAACACCGACCTACGCAGGCATCGAACCCGCGACCCAGAGGTGGAGGGCTTAGTGGTAGCAGAATGCCAGACGCTTTAGTCCCCACAACAATCAGAGGTCAAGTATTAGCATATCTTGTGTTTGGTACTGGCAATGCACAAAACGGTCAGGACTCTATTTTTTCAAATATTTTATGCTACATATGAACATACTTTCTCTGGTATCTTAGCATCTTTAGTCGACCTTTGGAGTTGGTGTGAGTAAACATATTCTCTACTCTATGATAGTCATAATGGCTTCAATAGAAATCAAACAACATTAAAAAAACCCGCCAAGTAGTCACTCGAAAGACAAATTAAATAGCGTAAACAATAAGACGTAAAATGCATTTCGAATAAGACAGGTGTACGTGGAAATGTGACATGGCACTTTCTTCGTGCAGCACATGTTTACATTTGCATGGCATTGTCACTATATAGCCTCTTTGAAAGCTGTGTCGTTGATGGGACTTTAATTACTATGCATCACGAGACATAAAAAAAAATAAAAACACTTTTATTACAACGAAAACAATACCAATGTCTGCAATATCGTACAAAATGCACATCGGTTGAAATCCCCGATGCCGGCAATGGAAACAATTTTAACGCTCATGCAATTTATCAGAAATATCGTCTGTTACACTGCACTGATCAACAGGGGTTCGTTATAAATGTCTGACATACACATATTATATAGACCTACTGACATGTATGTTACAGACCTACTGATATGAGTCACAGCACACATACACATTTCAGACATTTGTAACGAACCTGTGCTCCGTCGCAAGATCACTCACTTCAAATGCTATCTTTCACGCGTCTTGCATCCACCATTCCTCAGTTTCTGACGACATGTCAAATAACGAGGATGTTATAGAATCTACCGACTGTTGTCAGGTTCCCATACAATCAACAAATACATTCACGCCTGGATTTTTCACAAAATGAGCAAAAAGAAAAGTTCGAATTAACTTCCAAAAATAACTCCCTCGTGGAGGGCAAGGTCGGTTTTACGGTGTTCATTGTATTTGTCCATGCGCGAAATTTGTTCCGGGGAAAAATCGAAACAATTTCAAATATAACTTTCAGCTCAGAGTTCTATTGATAAACTTAAATCACCCTATAGACATAGCATACGCAATTGTATTGATACTGAATTGTGGAATAAAATCGAAGTGTTTGTTAAAATTTCAAAGTACTACCATGTTTGCCAATCAGCACGCGACAATACGCTGTTCAAACTATTGAACGAAATTGTGTGTACTGTCGATAAGGCGGGCATTTTTAATTTTGAATATAAATTATAAGTTAAAAAAGAACATAAGAGCCAGAGAAAACGTAAATATAAGCATTGAACTGTTTTTGTATGGTATTTATTATCTATTCGAATGACACAGCTTTGCAAGCAAACAACTCATAATGTTGTTTGCTTGCAAAGCTGTGTCATTCAAATAGATCATAAATACCATACAAAAACAGTTCAATGCTTAATTAATGAAGCAAGAAATAATGATATATTTACAGATTTAGAAGGGTATCTATGAGACGTGATTAGGTTTTGTAAATGATCCGCCTAAGTAACTCTGGTTTTTATGTATAATCCTACAGATCAAAACCTACTGTATTACCTAGTCTCTTTCGTATAGGAAACGTCCAGGCATACCAACTTAAACAAAATGAGGAAAGGTGTTTTCTCATAAACAAACACATTTTTGCATGACTGGATAATCTCTTATATTCTTTTTTCAGTATATTCTAAAACTGCACTATATTTCTTTCCAAATTGTACGTCACACGTTATGCAAGTTACGGCCAACACTGTTATCGGACACGATTATGTATATATACGTACATAAAGGAAGGTTCAAGTATTGACCGTTAGGACAACAGACCCATTAATCAATGAAAGCACTACAGTATAAGGTTTAAGGGTTAAGACTCGTTCAAATATTGACTCTAAATCTGAACTTTGTTTTCTTTACGTTAGCAAGCGAATGGGACAACGGCTAGTGTTATGCTCTTACTTAATATTAAAAAGCGATCTTAGTCACTGCACGTAACTGGCAGTCAATCTATTTATAGCTGTTCTCGTATTTTCACCCCTATAATACTGTATAGTTCTGGGGTTATGCATTTCAAAAGATCCTGACCAATGATTATATCGGTGGACTAAGATGTGAAAATGTTTTTCGAAATATTTTTTGTTATCGATGTTAAGAATATATACATGCAGAGTCAGCAATTTTGCTACATAGTAATGCAGATTTACATTGCAGTGCATCATAAGTAAGTATTTTAGACAATATTGCATATCAATCAAATTAGTCCAATTATTAACACTTTATTCCCTGCGTGTTTGTACACGTCTCTTAGGAAACTGTTACGCCATAGTTCCGTTCGTCGTTGCACCATAGTAACCTCCTTGATAAAAGAAGTTTTCAGTTCGAACACAATTTAACAAAAGAGCACGGATGAAGTAACACTGTTAAATATCCAATAATAAGGCGACATATTAGCAAAAGTTAAACGAAAATAATTATATCTATTAATCATGAACGTTTGTTGAGGTGAATTTGCGATTATATGGACCTGAAAAAGCGATATTGACCAAGAAGAAGTCAATGTTAAAATCATTTTCAAGTCCATCAAAAGTACATAATCACCGAAATGAAAGTTCTTTAATGCTATTTCATTTGTCGATCTCTCTTTTCAAGTCCATATAACATCATATTCACCGAAAGGAATGCCCTTTAATGTTATATTAGATATGGAAATAAGTTTTTTATCAGTAACAAAAAAATAAGAAATTCGTCAAGCGAAAAATGTTGCATCAGACAAAGAACATGATGACGTTACAATTTCAGTGACTTTATTCAGAAAAAGAATATTGACTTGCTGTTTCTAAAAATAGCAATATCGGAACAATATCCAAAAACAACGGCTTCCACGTGATACACGTATGACCCAACTATTTGGAAGGTGGGGAAAATGGTCATTTCATATTTATAAATATAGGTCGATGCAATTTGAAATAAAACCATCGCTGTTTATTTTTGCTATCTGACTTTCGTGTCACCTCGCTTTTTATCTAACATTAACCATGAATAAACAATAAACACACCATCCATTTGTATGTTCATGGTTCATGAATGATGAACATAATACACACACACACACACACACACACGGACACTTACTCACAAACACACATACACACATACACACATACACACAAACACACATAAACACCTATATACACACACACACATACACACAAACACACATACACACAAACACACATACACACAAACACACATACACACAAACACACATACACACAAACACACATACACACAAACACACATACACACAAACACACATACACACAAACACACATACACACAAACACACATACACACAAACACACATACACACAAACACACATACACACAAACACACATACACACAAACACACATACACACAAACACACATACACACAAACACACATACACACAAACACACATACACACAAACACACATACACACAAACACACATACACACAAACACACATACACACAAACACACATACACACAAACACACATACACACAAACACACATACACACAAACACACATACACACAAACACACATACACACAAACACACATACACACAAACACACATACACACAAACACACATACACACAAACACACATACACACAAACACACATACACACAAACACACATACACACAAACACACATACACACAAACACACATACACACAAACACACATACACACAAACACACATACACACAAACACACATACACACAAACACACATACACACAAACACACATACACACAAACACACATACACACAAACACACATACACACAAACACACATACACACAAACACACATACACACAAACACACATACACACAAACACACATACACACAAACACACATACACACAAACACACATACACACAAACACACATACACACAAACACACATACACACAAACACACATACACACAAACACACATACACACAAACACACATACACACAAACACACATACACACAAACACACATACACACAAACACACATACACACAAACACACATACACACAAACACACATACACACAAACACACATACACACAAACACACATACACACAAACACACAAACACAAACACTCATATACACAAACACACATACACACAAACACACATTCACACAAACACACATACATACAAACACACATACACACAAACACACATACACACAAACACGCATACACACAAACACACATACACTCAAACACACATACAAACAAACACACATACACACAAACACTCATACACACAAACACATATACACACAAACACACATACACACATACACACAAACACACATACACACAAACACACATACACACAAACACACATACACACAAACACACATACACACAAACACACATACACACAAACACACATACACACAAACACACATACACACAAACACACATACACACAAACA